TTAAAATTATAGTTTATGAAGAAATATAGCAAAATATGTTTCAATACGCACTATAAAGTGAAGATTAGATGTATTATTGTTTTGTTTTTGAAAGAACATTAATAATCCATAAATACACACCTTTGTACCAAAATTGCAACAAAATTTCAAGATAACATAAATTTCATCATCACAGAATGATATTATTTGCTCAAATTGACAGGGCTTCGTGAACTAAATTTGGCTTAAAAAAAATAGCAATTGAACACTTCATTATAATTTCTACCGATGACCTACTATCATGATTTTTATCCGACCCCACTTACGGACGCGTTGACATATAATGCATACATCTCAATAATAGCCAATCAGACGTTAAGATATCCTTCACTTCCCCCAGAAGCAGCCCGGAAGCAGCTGAGATGCAGCCATTTAATGTTATTTATAACCAATGAGATACCGTTAACAGATTTACCACATTCCAGACGTCCAGCCTCTGACTAATGAGACCGTATCACCATGGTGATACGGTAATAATACGTATACATTTTAAAGATTTTTTTGTTGTTTAACTGTGTTATTTAAAATAGACTTAAGAGATAACTGTATTGTATTTGAAGCTTTGCGGACGTCCATCGGTAGTTTTACTGTCACAAATTTAGTATACTTGGCGACGCGTAGGAATCATTTGTTTTTTTCACAGTTCAATTTAAAAGAAAAATCATGGTTATAAAATACAAATAATTACACCATTACTAACGCAATTCTATATTAATATTCTTGTAATAGTTAGAAAATACATCAAATAACACCATTACAAATTTAATCCCAATTTCATATTGTATGTTTAGTAATTACTGGTGACGTCACTTTTTGAGGCGTTGAAACATTCGTGTGACGCACAGTTCATTATTCTATTGTGCTGTATTTTTGTTCTGTCATAAATTAATTTTAGGTGTTCATTCTTATTCTGTGGTTTACATGTAGAAATGGACTATTACGTTATTTATTTATGTATATATTTCTCTGTCCTTGATGTACTTACACTTATTTGTACTTTATTATTGTCACGTAATGTTGTCATTTTAGCCGTATTCTTAACAATGCTATATAAGCGGGAGGTTTTAAATGTTCTGAACCAAGTCAGGAATATGGCAAATGTTATCACATAGTCCGTTTTTATGTATGTTGGCGTTTGTTTTTGTAGCAGTTTAGTGTTTCTGTTGTTCCGGTTTGTTTCCTCTTATAGTTGATGTGTTTCCCTCAATTTTATTTGTGATCTGGATTCGTTTCAGTTAAATTGATTTATGACTATTGGATAGTACAGTACTAGTTTATTTGAATAATTATAACATAAAATATACAAATTCATTGAAAATATTTTTATTTGTAAGATCCGAGCTTGGTCATCCTAAGATAAAGTGTTCATTGTTGAAAGCCGTACGGTGACCTATAATTGGTAGTTTCTGTGTTATTTGGTCTTTTGTGAAGAGTTGTCTCATTGGCAATCATAACACATCTTCTTTTTTTATGTTTACGATGCGTGCATCCCAAGCTTGAACCCAAAACATGTTTAAACGGAAATGAATCCAATTATTATCTGAAAATAAATTTGTGTCCTCCCAGCTAAGCATTTTGTTGAGTAAGATTTTATTTCGAAAAAAAATATCGTTTTTGTCCAGAATAAACAAAATGATATGCTTCAACGACAATAATTTGTTGAATTCTTTAATTCTTAATTTGCTGTGACCCACAAAACCCACGAAAATTGGTATACCACGTATACAAATGAATCCACAGTAATTGCGTTAGAAGCTTGTGAAACGGGAATTAAAAATTGCCAATCCTTGCTGCATATCGATAAAACAAATTGGAAAAAATCATCTACACACAAAATCAAAAGATCTTCGGCTCACAAATTCTCATGCTGCGTTCACACGTAATTCGAATTCGATTCGCATTAACTATTTCGAATTAGTTTAATTCGCATTCGAAACGTTTTACGTCCAAACGTAAATTCTAATTCGAATTGCAATGTGCGTCAAATTCGCTTTACTGTCCGAACGACGTTAACTTTTAATTCGTATTAACAAAAATGCATTTCTAATGCGAATTGGATAATGCGATTTAGCCAATTCGAATCAATTCGAATTAAAAAAGAAGAGTGTGTGAACGCGATAAGCGAATTCGATTCGCATTTGATTCGAATTCAATTCGAATTAAATGTACGTGTGAACGAGGCATAACAGTGTTTTACAAATTTCTTAGCATGTTACAATTTTCCAAAATATGTTTTTTTTTCACACGTAAGTTATCGAGCACGCCGGTCTGCTCTTGTCACATGTACATTCAAAAGAGAAATATTGTCTTTTCCTGAATATAAAAATTTAAAAGTCTGTCTTTGCAGGTTAAGAAAATAAAGATTCCTATTTTAATAAATTAGATATCCTTCCACTATTTTGTATACAATTTTAAGAATAGGTCGTCTATTTTTTTTACATGTATTTGTGGTTTTGCGTAGTTTTAAAAGTGCCAATATTTGCTGCGTATCAATCGACTCCTTTGGATTTTTGTTTACTCTCACTGATCTAGTTATATATACGAATAATTAACATGTTCCAGAGAGGAACACATACAGTAAAAGAAATAATTGAAGCTGTTGGTACTCTAAATGAAATATTTCTTTCACATTGCAAAAATTATGACATGACGAAAAAGAAATAGGTAAGGAGTAGTAGTTTACAGTATACCAGGTCGATGTGTTGCATTCCGATCAAATACAGTCAGAAACTGCAATAGTTTCATGGTGCATCAACATTACTGAAAAAATTTAGTAATATTGAAACTGTTATTTAAAAAATGATTTAGAGGAGGCTTCGAATGTAAATGATGTTTTCATAAAATTTGATGAGCCCAATATACTATATGCTACATAGTGACAATTATCGTGACTTTACAGCTGTGGTAATATCAGATTGAAAACGAATGTGACAAGAATTAGTTATTGTGATTGAAAAAGATAATACCATTCACAGGGTAGTATTAAGTGATCAAACTGAAAAAAAAAACCGGGAAACTGTGCAATAGTCGGTGTCTTTGCTCTGCACCTTGTGATAACAATTAATTTTATATCATGTTAACATGTATTTGAAGAGTATATATATATATATATTCCATAAGTGATGATGTCAATAGAAATATTTGAGTATAATTTGATTTCAGGCCATTGACATTTTAACATCTATTTCAAAGTTCTTATCATGTTACTATATACCAAATGTATTTTTTACTTTGGTTAAAAAAAATTAAGGTTTTACTTTTTCTTATCATTCACATTTCAGGCATTTAGATAAATGCGATGACATAACTGGCAGGATTTAAGAATAAAGCCAAGCATCATTTAGTTAAAAAACTGAATGTCTATGCGTTACCTTAATGCATGTGATCTAAGCTCAAAATTTAATTTCACTTATTGCAGCTACCATATACACAGACCAATTTACAATAAAAGTATATAATACTCTAATCTTGGTGATTAACATTTTAATTTGTATTCAAAATCCCTTCATGATTATTTGGTGAGCTTACATAGTACATAATTTCTGAAACACATTTTAAGATATGATAATAATCGGAGTGTTTTAGAGATTTGTTCTGATGACTTTAATTGATTAACAGGAAAGTGTAGTAAATAGACGACGATTGGAATTAAGCTTCGGATAAAAAAATATCGGAGCCTACTTGAATTTGTGACATTTTGTAATGATAAAGAAATGATAGGTCCTTCTTTGCTTGCAAATGCCACATTCATTCTGTAGTGACTGTGTATAACAGTTGGGATATTCTATAGCATTCAAATCATACATCAAAAGCACATGCGAGTAACTTACAATTTCCGGAGATAAATTAAGGTTAACAATTAAAAGCTAGGGAAATGTTATGAACTCCAAATGGAGCAAAACCCAGTACGTCAATTGGGTAGGAGTATTCTGTGCAAGCATTGCCAGCCATGCAAATCAATGCTCAGTAAAAATGTCAAAATTAGAAATAGAACACAATCTGAAACATTACAGATAATTCGAATTTCTGGAATGTAATGATCGAAAACTGAAAACAAGTCGCAAGTAAGTTCAAACACAACCATATAACGAGTCGATTAAGCAATGCTTGATGATGAACGTAGGAAGTCGCGAGTTCAGCCACTCATCCTCTTAATCCAAAACAAACTCGTGTATTTACGAATTTATGAAACGGATTCATGTTCCAGGAATTTATGAAAAGAAATCATTTATCCACGAATTTATGTAACAAGTGTAATATTACTGTACAAACATTCAAGTTAATGTCCCGATTGAATTTCGCGTTTATTTACTCAGACTCTGGAGTGGAACTTTTGTTGCGTTTTTTTTAGTGTTTACAGCACCCTTGTCGGTCAGCATTTTGCCTTTTCTGCAACAGTGACACTTTGAAATCTGTTCTAATTGACTCTTTGTTTGCTAGTATAGTTCAGCATATTGTTGATAAACAAAAGAAATGCAACAAAAGTTATTTTAACTTACACTATTCCTCGCTTTGCATTATTTACGATTTCTAAAATGCTAATGTCGTTCTTTTTAATAGATATTACTTATATCAGCGAGTACCGACATCTTATACATTTTTTTGAACTTGAAATATACTGTGCAGAAAAGAATATGTGCTTCATGTTTGTTCCTGTCAAAATCTTTTGAAAGAATGATGATTTAAACAGATTTAGCATGGATGTAGTTTTCAGATGTATAGAAAGAAATATGAAAAGGAGCAGGGAAATGTTTTCAAACGTTAATTTGATTGAAAATATCAGAAGAGCTCTAAATTACAAAGACCCGCCAGTACAAGTGAAGAAAGATGACTTTAATTTTCAATTTTCAATCGAGATACATACATTGTAAGTTAGAATTATAAACATAATAATTACATTACATGAGAGCACCCCCAGGTTTTTGTTGGCGTTCTGAGTATCTTTCGCCTCTCTTTTACAGATAAAAACATGGAATATCATAATGTGCAATTTGTTACTGTGATGTTGGTTTCCATTACTTTTTTAAGTAAGTATAAGATATTATATGAACTTGGATCCGCCTGAGGTGTACAACGACTCCAAAGCATAAATCATCATGTACGAGTACATTAAACTGTCTACCCCACATGCGAACATCATTTGGGACCTCGCTGTGTTGCAAGTATCTTGAATTTTAAGGCATATTAATTCAAATTGCTCATTGCTGCCTTTTTTAATTTCGTCTATCGTCGTAGACGTCCAGCTAGAAGGGTCATTAAACAAACTATAGTGCACTAGCTGAAACCCTTGCCCATAACTAAACCGTGATGCTTGGTGTTTTCTTCCTTGCACACACGCAACCATATTACTCACCTTGTTTGTTTTCTATTCTTCTAATCAGCTGTTTATCGGCAATTGTCTGTTTTGTTTACATCGGAAATCAATGAAGCGGTGAATGCGCGGGGAAACGAAAGGACATCTTCGTATCAATACGGTAAATTCCGTGATTTGAATATTTTCTAATCAATATGTTCAAGCAATGAAAATATTAGGATTACAATTTAATCAAAGAGCACAGGTTTTGTGTATTTACTATTTAAAGTTATAGTTTATGAAGAAATATAGCAAAATATGTTTCAATACGCACTATAAAGTGAAAATTAGATGTATTATTGTTTTGTTTTTGAAAGAACATTAATAATCCATAAATACACACCTTTGTACCAAAATTGCAACAAAATTTCAAGATAACATAAATTTCATCATCACAGAATGATATTATTTGCTCAAATTGACAGGGCTTCATGAACTAAATTTGGCTTAAATTATGAGAGCAATTGAACACTTCATTATAGTTTCTACCGATGACCTACTATCATGAATTTTATCCGACCCCACTTACGGACGCGTTGACATATAATGCAACTCTTATATTACGTTATGTTGTTTTATTATTACTTGATGATATGTTGTCTTTACATAATGATGTTTTGATATAACTCAATATGGCATAGTCATTACTTAATGATATTTCGATATTTCACGATATGGTTTCGTATTGACTTGATATAGTTTTATCATTACTTGATATGGTTTTTTCATTAATCAATGTGGCTTTGTCATTAGTCGATGTGGTTTCACCATTATTTAATGTGGTTGTTTCATTAGGCAATGTGGTTTTAACATTACTTGATGTGTATGTGACTTAACGTAATGGAGATGTTTCATTACATGATGTGGTTTTGTTGTTTCGTAATGATGATTTGCCAATTCTTTATATGGTTTTAACATTACGTAATGATGTTTTAAAATTTGACGATTTGACACTACATGATGTGTTTGTTTCAGTATTTGATGTGGTCCTTTCATTCTTTGATGTGGTTATCACATTACGTTGTGGAGGTAAAACCACGTGACCGTTTCGGGAAATAGTTCTATTTTTAGATCATAGAATTCCATGTTTTATGTGCCTTGGATGAGTGTGGCCATCCATCGAGTTAGAGTTTAAATTAAAGATTCGAATTAAACTTAGAGTTTAAATTAAAGTTTCGAATCAAACTTGGAGTTTAGATGAAAGTTTCGAATTAAACTTAGAGTTTAAATTAAAGTTTCGAATCAAACTTGGAGTTTAGATGAAAGTTTCGAATTAAACTTTGTGTTAAGTCTTCGATTAAAGTTATAATTCAAGCCATTATTAGAATAAAAGTTCTAGTAGCATTGAGTTTCGGGTTCAATTTCAAGATTGAGTCAAAGGTAGCGTTCGAGTTACAATAATGAATTCAACTTCAACTTTGAATTTGAGGAGCCTTTTGGGGTAGAGTTTGAGTTAGAGTCGAAAATGAGTTTCGTTTAGATTAAGATTTCGAGTTAAAATTGGAGTTATCTAATATGAGTTCGTCACGGTATTTAAATTTTTCTATCTAAGATCAAGGGCTTTTGCTCGGGATTCCGAAAAGAGGGCTGAGGGGTATTTGTACAAAACATAAACAATGTTATAGTATACAAAACACAACATAGAAATTGAAATAAAGTTGGATGTGTAATGATTGCCAATGAGATTACTATCTACTAAAGTTTAAATGTCACAATAATGGATGTAAGCAATCATAGGCAACCGTACAGCCTTCAACGCACCGTATAGTAAAAAAAGGCTACAAAGGCCACCACGTAAAAATGTGAAACAATTCAAATTTATACCAAAACAATCTACGAAGAACAAATTTGACTCACATAAAACAATGACAACCATTGAACCACAGGTTCTTCAAGTGTCTTGGGCAGGCACATACAGAAAGTGCACGTGGCGGAGTTTGACGTGTATGTGAGCGCTAAACCCTAACCTAAACTCGGACTGTAATGTAACAGCACAACATAAGAAAATGTAAAAAAAAGTTCCAATAGGCTTAAATCAATAGATCGGTATTACTGGGTAATATAAATTCATTGGTGATGATCTCGCGTGCTCCAGAAGGTTAAGCAGATTCTGCTCAACGTGTGGTAGCCGTCGTGTTATTCGTGAAAGTATAAACCCAGTGATTTGGTTTTATTTGGTAGTTCCCGTTCGAGGAAAAGATGACGGGGTTGTGGTACGAAAACTGGAACATATCCGTCGTCATTTGTGAAACAGATATTCCAAAAAGTTTGTTGTTTCAATTAGTGCGATATATATCAGAGTATGCAATTTATAATAATAACAGAATGATATTCGTATATGTTCAAATAATCATACACGCTAAAAAAGATAAAAGAATTCATATTTTATAGAATTGATGTTTGTCGCTTATTCCAATCCCCCCATTTCCCTGTAACTTTAGTGTGAGTTGATTTAAAGTGTCTCATTGCCGACAATAAAGTACAAGTCTTTTGATTTTTGTGTTGAACCTGGGACATTAATGTAGCAGCAGTGAGACACAACAAACCTATATTTCGTTGTGGTTAGTGGTGTCGGCGTCTTCATCATTTAGATTGTCAGGTTTCTCGTTTAAATTGTTTTTACATTTTTCATTTCGGGACCTTTTATAGCATACTATGTGGTATGGGTTTTGCTCATTGTTGAAGATTATACAGTCAAACATAGTTGTTTAAACTTTCTACGTCATGTGGTAAATATTTGGTTGAGAGTTGTCTCATTGGCAATCATACCACATTTTCTTATTTCTATATAGGTTTTTTTTTGCATTAAATATTACCGAATTAGACTGTGTTGGTATGATAAATTTGAAAAACTCGATTGATTAGTATAAAACTTGTATAGGAGTTATTCTTCAAGATCAAGATAAAGCATCTACAGAAAAACATTTCTTTTTTAATTTTGTATTTACCGGTACATGTACAAATAAATGTACGGTCAACATTACGCTTTCACACTGACAGCAGCAATATCAGGCGAGACGAGAATTCCGTAGAATCTTTCACGAATTATTATATATACTGCTTCCATTTGAGAACTAATAAAGAAAAAAACGGCAAGACCAAATTGTTTAGGGATATCCCCCGTATGGCCGAATGACTGTAAATTGTTTAGTACTTTTTTCTTATTTTTGTCTGCCGTTTCCCTTTTTTTATACCGAATAACTCTGAACAACAAGTCGAACTTTAATTTGAACTTGAACTCAATGGATGGCGAAACTCATTCAAAGGACATTAAACAAACGACATAGTGATATCGGTTTAAAAATAGAACTAGTTTTTCCGAAATGGTCACGTGGTTTAACCTCCACCACGTAATGTGATAACCACATCAAAGAATGAAAGGACCACATCAAATACTGAAACAAACACATCATGTAGTGTCAAATCGTCAAATTCTTAAAACATCATTACGTAATGTTAAAACCATATAAAGAATTGGCAAATCATCATTACGAAACAACAAAACCACATCATGTAATGAAACAACTACATTACGTTAAGTCACATACACATCAAGTAATGTTAAAACCACATTGCCTAATGAAACAACCACATTAAATAATGGTGAAACCACATCGAGTAATGACAAAGCCACATTGATTAATGACAAAACCATATCAAGTAATGATAAAACTATATCAAGTCAATACGAAACCATATCGTGAAATATCGAAATATCATTAAGTAATGACTATGCCATATTGAGTTATATCAAAACATCATTATGTAAAGACAACATATCATCAAGTAATAATAAAACAACATTACGTAATATAAGAGTTCCACATAAGACAGCTGTGGCGTTCCATATACTTCCAAGTAATGACTCTTCAATTTCGTCATCATCTTGATTAAAGAAACGAACGGAATCTTCTACATCAAGAATATCAACTATTTTGTAGAGCATTTCTGTCCGAATTTGTAAAATGGATGTACAGCATAGTATATAATGCATAAGTATATTCGTATTATGTAAGTTACACAAAGAGCATTTGCCTGTTTTAATAGCTATTACTCCTAATTTCACAAGCGTCATAAAATTTGAATTCAAAGATGGATAAGTTACTGCTAGTCGTAACAAACGATGCTCCGTCAAACATGTATGTTTTTTATTGTACCGCTTAAGTTCTGGTCGCCGTTTAACTGAGTGTTTCCATTTGTTTTCTTCGTATATGTCTGAAGTCTGTTTTACAATTTTGCTCCACAGTGGTTTGTCTGAAAAAGAAATTTTCAGCCACAAAGTTTTCAACAAAAACATCAAATTCATATTTCATCAAAATTTTGATATAATCGCAAGTCAATGATATTTGACTGGACTCACCGGCTAATATTTGTCCCATACGAAAATTAAACATCCGTTTATGTATTGTTGTTGATTTTGCACGAATCAACCTTAAAAAAAACAAAAGTTTCATTTTATCAGTATATCCTTCAACATGACCACAACCCAATTTTACTAATGCAAGAGTCAATCTGACTGCGTTTATCCATCATTAGTATAAATCTGACGAAATATCTTTGAGTCATTTCCAACATTTCAACTTCACGGTAGGGTAGCTGACCCCAAGTTTCACATCCATAAAGTGCAGTTGTAAGGATAACTCTTTTCCATATAAAGTTATTTGTTAAGGCACTCATCCCTCGTGGATTAACACCAACAGTATAAAGTGAGTGAAGTTTCTGTTATAATATTTTACTGGATTTATCTGATCTGTCGAAAGTTTTTCCATCTGAGTTAATAAGTGTTCCAGCGTAAGTACATACACGTTTTCTTTCGAGTACAATATTACCAAGATTATGACATGCTACAGAGTCTCTATTGTTGCAAGTCTTTCTTGGTGGTGTAAAAATCAAAACACTGCTTTTCGATGCATTATATCTCAACCGCCATTTGAACGCATAGCTGTTAACAACGTTTAATAATGTCTGAGCACCATTTACAGTTGCACTTAATACAGTTGTGTCATCGGCTAACACGATTGTTGGTATGCTGATCGGGCCTATTAGTAGTCCACAATTTGTCGATAAGAGTTCACAAATCAAGTCATTAATAAATACGGAAAATAACCAGGCAGACAACACACTACTCCTTGTTCAATCCGAAACACTTGACTTGTTAGTCAACTATGCTGCACATGTGCTGTTGCAGTTTTATACGACATATCTATAATTATTCCCATTTGTATACATTCTCCGCCTATTTTGTTCAGCCATATTGAATTTCGTGTGACGTCACGAAAAACAAGAAAAGACATATTTTCTTACAATGTTGACTGCTGTACCCCTATTTTTTACCTATTATGACTGTTTGTTTTGTTCACACATCGTTGTCAATATATTGGAATTTGTTGCGACTGTCATTCAAGTGAGAGTTTTAACTACAATGTAGCTATAAAACCAGGTTTAATCTAGTACCATTTTCTACATAAGAAATGCATGTACCAAGTTGGGAATATGACTGCTGTTATCCATTCGTTTGATGTGTCTGAGCTTTCGTTTTTGAAATTTGATTAGGGACTTTCCGATTTGAATTTTCCTTGGAGTTCAGTATTTTTGTGATTTTACATTATAATTTAATTTTACAGAGTAGACACATATATGATTCGGAAACAATTTTGTATAAAAGAAAAAAATTGTCTCTTCGATTTTATATTTACAATTTTGTCGTCTATCTTTTCTTCCTGTCTTCTTGTTTTGTTCTTACTTAAGAAAAAATAGATTCGAATCAAACTATCCAAAATATTTCAAATTGTATTTTAGTTAAAATAATCACCGTGAAAGATGATAGTCTATCAATGCATTGTCAGGTTGACATGTTTTTTTTGCAATTTTCAGGTATTTGGACGATAATTTTCATGATCTTCATAATGCGTAAGTTTGGTAATTTAAATTAGTTTTATACACCTGACTGTAATTCGTAAAACATAAAAAGTAAGTTATTAGATACACACACTTTAATTTACAATATATTACAAATCAAAAGACACATTAAGGGTATTAAGAAAACTTCATTTCTATCCAGTAAAAAGTGTTTGACGCAACAATTTTCTGGTGTTTGCACCTGGATTAATATTTTCGAAAAGAGGAAAAAGATCTAGAGTTTGGTGCATTTATACAATATAGCAAATTTTTTTGAATATTGGATTACTAAAATAAAGATATATATCAGTACCAACCATTTTGACTTATCGCGATACTCGGGACTTTTCTCAATACATTATTAGCCTCTCTAAATAGTTTGTATTCTTGTTGTTAAATCAATTGTACATATGAAAATCTTTTAAATACTTCAATGTAACAGACATATTGTCGATATTACTTTTATTTATGTAAAATGCATATTCAGTTTTTGAAAAAAAAAAAAAAAACAGTTCTCCTTTTACCCTATAATCGACAACTTATTAGTCTAACCCGACATATGTAAACAAAATTTTTACATTAGGAAGTCTGATAATTGTTATTTTAATAACATGAGTAAGTTCAAGTGGAGTATCCGCTCTTCCAAAATAGCTTAAACAACAAAATACAAATCTTTCCTCTCAACTTAAGTGTCAGTATTATAACATAGTTTAAAAATACCAAAATACTAAAGCAAATACAAGATTTGTAGATAAGTCAAGAACCTAACTTTTACAGCAAAAACCAACAATTATCGGAAAAACAATAATAAATCAAAAACAAAAATATCTATATTTCTGGTGTATTAAAATTGAAATAAGTGTATGCTAACCTGCTATTGCAAAAACTTATGTTTAACTATTGGTTCGACAAAATTTGTTTTAGGAATACATCAACCCTTTAACGTTATAACAGCTAACAGAAAAGATTTAATTGAGGAAATGGATGTTGCACTAATGAAAGAAGAGTTGTGTTTAAAAGGATTTGATATTAACATACCTGCCACTGTGCGCTCAAGAAGGGAAAAAGCACATATTATTTGTGACTTTTTGGAGAAACAGCCAACAGAATTCATGGTTATTGTGTATGAAATTTTAGAAAAACACAATCTGGATTTAATTCTAGAAACACTTAAAGCATCTGAAGGAAAAAATAGATTTACGCATTTTACGCAATTTTGTTAAACTTGGTAAAAGACAAAAGTAAGAGAACATTTAACAGCTGAGGAAAAGCATCAATATGTCATGTCATTGTTCATGAACCTGACGGTTAACATCATTCTCATTACATCTGAAATTGTCCCTACACCGTTTATTACAAAATATATTTTTGACAAACGAAAGTTAAAAATATGAGATGTATGGGCAGTTGTGTTTGATTTCGAAAGATTATGATCAGTTAAACTAATGCGTTTCAAATAATTTTAATAAACTTTCACTGAGGACTAAGTGGATGTGGAAACTGATAATTTCAACTTTTGCAATTCCGTTGTTATGGTTCATACTGATTGGAAAGGGTCTTTTGTGTTTTTATTTCGATTTGTAATATATACATTCCTTTCCACATGTTATGTGTGTATACTGATTACATAACTGAGATTAAATTCTATGTTGACATGTTTCCCATATTGCAAAAACTCCTTAAAATATTCTTAGCTCACCTGGCTCGAAGTGCCAAGTGAGCTATTCTCATCACTTGGCGTCCGTCGTCCATCGTCTGTCGTCGTCCGTCGTCGTCGTCGTCGTTAACTTTTTTACATTTTGAACTTCTTCTAGAGAACCACTAAATGGAATTGAACCAAACATAGCATGAATGTTCCTTATGATGTGCTGAACAACTGTTGTTACTTCGTAGCCGATCCATTTTTCAAGATGGCCGCCTGCGGAGGACTTAGTTTAACGTAGGACCCTATGGGAAATACATACAAATGTCTTCTTTTAGAGAACCACTGAATGGAATGAAACCAAACATAGCATGAATGTTCCTTATAAGGTGCTGACCAAGTATTGTTACTTCGAAGCTAATCCATCATCCAAGATGGCCGCCAGCGGGGGACTTAGTTTAACATAGGACCCTATGGGATACATACAAATGTCTTCTTTTAGAGAACAACTGAATGGAATGAAACCAAACTTCTTATGAGGTTCTGACCAAGTGTTGTTACTTTGTAGCCGATCTATCATCAAAGATGGCCGCCAGCGGGGGGAAACCACTTTTGCATGAAGCCGCACATGACACAGTACCCGAAATACCACGATTCCCTTATACATTATTAAAATATGTAGTCATCACTGCAATTTATTTGTGCAAAAGAATAATTTACTTTGTAAACAATGAATTTAACTGAACAAAATTAATTATTTTTATCTTTATATTTGCTCTAAATATGCATGAAATTTTTGCGACTGTACATCAAGCAATCAACAAACAAGAGTTAATGTATGTGTTGCAAATTATTATGCTAAACTGACTTTGAACAAACCAATGCTAATAAATGACCACTTAATCAATAGTTGGAGCACTGATAAAACTTGCACTAGTCTAGTAAAAACTTGCAAGATAAAACTAAATGTATAATATTTGTGAATTAATTCAAATACCTTCATCTAAAATTTTACATATAATAACCTTATCGATGAAAAATTAATAAAGAGCTCTCGCAAGTGAAGATAATTTTTTGATTGTGATATTCTTTTTTATGGCCCTGCCGTAAAGAAGGGGGCACTAAGTTTCATCCTTGTCCATCTGTACGTCCGTACATTCCAAAATTGGTTTCCGTTCTCTAACTTTAGTTTGCCTCAACCAAATGTTATGAAACTTAAACACACTGCTTATTAATACAAAACACAGAGTAAGTAAGAACTTGGGTATCGTCACTTTTACTATTCTACAGTTATGCCCCTTTACAAATGGAAAAATTGCTAAATTTTTCGTTTCCTTTCTTTACCTTTAGTTTTACTCATTCAAATGTTATGAAACTTATATGCAATGCTTAAGCTTATTGCCACAAAACATAGATCATGTTTGAATTTTGGTGGCCTCACGTTTACTGTTCTAGAGTTATGCCCTTTACTAATGGAAAAATTGCAAAACTTTTCGTTTTTGTTCTCTAACTAAGTTTTTCTCAAGCAAATGTTATGAAACTATAAACAATGCTTAATACCAAAAAACACAGATTAATCACACATTTGGGTAGTGTCACTTTTACCGTTCTTTAGTTATGTATCTTTATTATCTTATATCCAAGCGGGCGCATCATCTGTGTCCTATGGATACATTCCCCATTTATCTTAATATGTGATGCCTGTTTACCCATCATTGAATGTCATAACCTCTGTGCTTAAATATTGAGGACATATTTGAGCTTCAAGTTTTTATCAAGTTGACAAGTTTTTGTTCAATAACAATTATTGTACATGTTAAATTTGGGAGAGTGAAAATTCAGACAGATTTTGATGAAGTAAATAATTAGACCATTTGGAATGTGAAATTCGACATGTCTGGGCGATTTGTAGTTTTATGGACATCTTTGTACGAAATGAACACATTTGAATATCTCAATATGATATTAAGGGGCATGCCCCCAAAAATCATTGGTTAGTTTATATGCTGAATCTGATAAGTTCAGTTTGACGGTAACCAGTAATTTTCAGTCAATTATATTTGGTGTGTTGTTGTCAGATTTGCAACATCTCATCCATGGGGATTACTTAATCAATCCCCCTTAGTCATGGTTGTCATGGTCTATTGATGTTTAATTTTGGGCATGTCACAGCTTAGAATTAAAAGGTAAAACCTCAGAAAATTACAATAAGACCATCATCAACATCATCTTCAAAATACATGTATATGAACATGCATACTAATATTTTGGTGAAAGACGTTCATCCTGTCGATTTACTTTGTCATATTCCTTTAGATAAATGCCTAGTGAATATATTCATGTCCAACAATAAGAAAACAATCCAAATGCCAAAGATAATTGAAAGACGTCTAGATGTCAATACGCAATTTCAAACAATCGACAAAATAAAAACTAAAAGTACAGCCAATTGTTGAAATATTTTAAATATTTCTTTCACAACTTTTTCAAGTATTAGATTCAACCTAACAATTTATAAAACTTTAATTTCATTGTGGCTAGTCTGTAACATAGACATCAATTAGACATTTGAGAGGAGCCATTACTATTTGGACATTACTTTGAGAAAAACAAAAAAGGTGTCTATTCCAAGGATATATAATTGGTCATACATGTAGATTTGAATCTTTTTTATTATGACATCAGATTTGGGTGTCGAATCGGGAATGGAGGTTGGTACCAGACCTCAATCTGAATCTTTCATATATATATATATATTGATTTAGTTGTGACGCTAAATAGACACTGAAGCAGTTTAAAGTTTTAATGTGTGTTCACCTGTTTACTATGATTAGGTGGAAGTATGTTCTTATTTCAAAAAGAGGGGCTCTCAGCATATATCATTAATGTGTGCATGAAGTGACAACGTCTTGCTAGAAACTGAATGTTTCGACCACAACTAAATATGTTTTAATTGGGATACGTATACATGTATATAATATAAAAATATATATGATTTTTCAAGACTTCTGATCCATGTAGTTTGTATATATAAAAAAGAAGATGTGGTATGATTGCCAATGAGACAACTCTCCACAAGAGACCAAATGACACAGACGTTAACAACTATAGGTCACCGTACGGCCTTCAACAATGAGCAAAGCCCAGGACGCATAGCCAGCTATAAAATGACAATGTAAAACAAATCAAAAGAGAAAGCTAACGGCCTAATTTATGTACAAAAAATGAATGAAAAACAAATATGTAACACATAAACAAACGACAACCACTGAATTACAGGCTCCTGACTTGGGACATTGGCATGTTTGTTAGATCATCAATGATCATAGAGGGGGTTTAAGTTTGATTTATAAAATATTTTTTGTAGCAAAGTATTCTGTTTTCTTTGTTATTGTTTCAATTGAATACATTAATAAGCAACCAATTTGAATGTCATACCATTTGTGGTGTTCTTAAGAACGCGTTCATATTTGCAAATAAAATAATAAAATAAACACTTTTCTTGTAAATTTTAATTTTCCTCTGTTTCAGCTGCTGTGTACAGTTATTTAATCCACTACGTAAGAGTTCAATGCATAAATTATTCCATTCACTAAACATTTTCCTTCAATTCTTAGAGAAAACATTTTAGCAATTTGTTCTTCGAAGATCTTCTTCAGTATATTTGATATGAGGGAGCGATGTAAATGAGTGGATAAGGCTGGTGTTCCTTTCAACAACAAAATACAATTTTTTTCTTCCTTTCTCCCTTCTTTCGACGAATATATATGTAGGACTCTAAAGTGCGATGGGGACGCTAAAGTACGATGGTCACGCTAAAGTGCGATGGTGTGCGCTAAAGTGCGATGCCTCCATACGCTAAAGTCCGATGGTCCGCGAAAGTATAGACGTAGGAAACGTAGTTGGATTATGACGTTAACAGTCGTTTATACAAACCCAAAATGAATATACCGGAAGATAAATTAGGAATATTTGATAATCAACTTTTAATCCAAATGTCCATGACTTAATTAATTTAAACCTAACCATGCTTTGTCGGCTGAAGCAAATGTGTTTTTTTTTTTTTTTGGTGCTGGAAGAATGACTTGTGTCCTGCAGTCGACCATTTTACTATATAGATACAAAATAGTATACGCATAATTATCCTGTATCCTGCTTCTATTGGAAGTAAACGGATACATTTAAATCACTGTTTATGTAACTTGCAGTTTACTTTGCGGTCCCCGTTTAAATATTGTCGATTTTATTGAAAAGTAACGTCGGTAAAATAAAGGTACATGTTTTCATGCGTAAATTATAAGTTGTCGGCTAAAACATTAGTTTGTACACTGTAGGAAAATATAACATGTATTTGTACTCGCTACGAAAAAGGAGAAAGCTCGGAAAGCATCGCATTTCTCTCTCACTTAATTTAGAGCTTAACATATGTGATAAATAAATGTTACATATTCCGACAATGAACGAATTTTTTATTTGTAATTTACAATGACGACTGGGGAGGTGTTCACATTAGTGATAGACTGTGTGAACGGCAAGCTACACCAAATATCCAAATATTTAATACGCCCGAATTATTAAAAAATCATTTACAGGAAATAAAGTATTCTGTGACACCTATATTACCTTTTAAGCAATTATTACGAGGTCGGTCTGTTCAATTTAGAAACAATCAATTAAGCCTACCGGTAAATTATAAAGCCTATCACATATGTTATACCTTAGCATACTAGCTTAAATGCAAAAAGACTATTTTTTAACAGCCATGTAATTTAACGTTTTAAGCCCTTTAACATTACCCTTTTGGTCCATCGCACTTTAGCGTGATATACCATCGTACTTTAGCGTAGACCATCGCACTTTAGCGTGACCATCGCACTTTAGAGTACCATCGCACTTTAGAGTCCTACATATATAATATGTTGTTGCATCTAAACAATTGTGTTTTTGTGCATCTATGATAGAACTACATTTTGTTTATAGCCATTATCATGTGATTATGATGAACTTTCCTATTTCTTTTTTGCAGGAAAGCACACATTCCATTTCACATTAATCCAATTAGCGCACCATGTAGATAAATATCAACTTTCAGTTTCCTCTTCAGTATTGACCTATTGATCATGAAAACCAAGATGTCTGATCACCTATAAATACACAAAGTAATACTATGTATGTGAAGTTAGCAGCCGGTTCGTTATTCGATATTCGATATTCAATATCCAACCGGCTGCTAGCAGTCGGTTGGATATTCAAAATTTAGTTGAAAATCATAAAAAAATTAAATACTTGATAACATTAAAAGCACGATTTTCATAGTTAAGAGGACTGATAAGATACGTAGGAAATCGTTTAATGACCTCTTCAAGCTGTCGTAAATTCTCGTTGTCCTCGAATATAAACCCGTTTCTAAGTTGCATATTTGTCTTTATGTAATATAGATTTTTATCAATAAAACAACTTCAAATATGTACTTTTATATATGATACTTCTTAACACAAAAGGAAAAACCTATAACTCTAGAAACATTTAGAAATATAAATATAAATATTTATGGAAAGCCCAAAAAAGAAATATATAATGAAAACCTACCTGAGACCGCTTAAATGAGGGTGAGACCCCCCTGGTCTTTCAACGTCCATAAAATTCAACTTAATCATAGACTCTGTATATGTAAAGGTTGTATTAGAAGGATTTCTCAGAATAATGTCATCTTCGATATCTACGGAGGGCTTAGAATGTCACTTTTCAGCTAAAAGTTGTCAAAATTTTAGGACAAAGGGCACAGGGCAATGGTGAGAGCCCTCTGATCTCTCAATCTTTCTAACATTATGCAGACATTTAGTTAATAGGTAGATACAAACGTGACTAAAAGGAATTTGGGTACACTTCCTGTCTTCTATGTTTATGGAGCGCCCAAAGTGCCAGTTGGATATTCAAAATATATAGTGAAAACCTACCTGAGACCGCTTAAATGAGGGTGAGACCCCCCTGGTCTTTCAACGTCCATAAAATTCAACTTAATCATAGACTCTGTATATGTAAAGGTTGTATTAGAAGGATTTCTCAGAATAATGTCATCTTCGATATCTACGGAGGGCTTAGAATGTCACTTTTCAGCTAAAAGTTGTCAAAATTTTAGGACAAAGGGCACAGGGCAATGGTGAGAGCCCTCTGATCTCTCAATCTTTCTAACATTATGCAGACATTTAGTTAATAGGTAGATACAAACGTGACTAAAAGGAATTTGGGTACACTTCCTGTCTTCTATGTTTATGGAGCGCCCAAAGTGCCAGTTGGATATTCAAAATATATAGTGAAAACCTACCTGAGACCGCTTAAATGAGGGTGAGACCCCCCTGGTCTTTCAACGTCCATAAAATTCAACTTAATCATAGACTCTGTATATGTAAAGGTTGTATTAGAAGGATTTCTCAGAATAATGTCATCTTCGATATCTACGGAGGGCTTAGAATGTCACTTTTCAGCTAAAAGTTGTCAAAATTTTAGGACAAAGGGCACAGGGCAATGGTGAGAGCCCTCTGATCTCTCAATCTTTCTAACATTATGCAGACATTTAGTTAATAGGTAGATACAAACGTGACTAAAAGGAATTTGGGTACACTTCCTGTCTTCTATGTTTATGGAGCGCCCAAAGTGCCAGTTGGATATTCAAAATATATAGTGAAAACCTACCTGAGACCGCTTAAATGAGGGTGAGACCCCCCTGGTCTTTCAACGTCCATAAAATTCAACTTAATCATAGACTCTGTATATGTAAAGGTTGTATTAGAAGGATTTCTCAGAATAATGTCATCTTCGATATCTACGGAGGGCTTAGAATGTCACTTTTCAGCTAAAAGTTGTCAAAATTTTAGGACAAAGGGCACAGGGCAATGGTGAGAGCCCTCTGATCTCTCAATCTTTCTAACATTATGCAGACATTTAGTTAATAGGTAGATACAAACGTGACTAAAAGGAATTTGGGTACACTTCCTGTCTTCTATGTTTATGGAGCGCCCAAAGTGCCAGTTGGATATTCAAAATATATAGTGAAAACCTACCTGAGACCGCTTAAATGAGGGTGAGACCCCCCTGGTCTTTCAACGTCCATAAAATTCAACTTAATCATAGACTCTGTATATGTAAAGGTTGTATTAGAAGGATTTCTCAGAATAATGTCATCTTCGATATCTACGGAGGGCTTAGAATGTCACTTTTCAGCTAAAAGTTGTCAAAATTTTAGGACAAAGGGCACAGGGCAATGGTGAGAGCCCTCTGATCTCTCAATCTTTCTAACATTATGCAGACATTTAGTTAATAGGTAGATACAAACGTGACTAAAAGGAATTTGGGTACACTTCCTGTCTTCTATGTTTATGGAGCGCCCAAAGTGCCAGTTGGATATTCAAAATATATAGTGAAAACCTACCTGAGACCGCTTAAATGAGGGTGAGACCCCCCTGGTCTTTCAACGTCCATAAAATTCAACTTAATCATAGACTCTGTATATGTAAAGGTTGTATTAGAAGGATTTCTCAGAATAATGTCATCTTCGATATCTACGGAGGGCTTAGAATGTCACTTTTCAGCTAAAAGTTGTCAAAATTTTAGGACAAAGGGCACAGGGCAATGGTGAGAGCCCTCTGATCTCTCAATCTTTCTAACATTATGCAGACATTTAGTTAATAGGTAGATACAAACGTGACTAAAAGGAATTTGGGTACACTTCCTGTCTTCTATGTTTATGGAGCGCCCAAAGTGCCAGTTGGATATTCAAAATATATAGTGAAAACCTACCTGAGACCGCTTAAATGAGGGTGAGACCCCCCTGGTCTTTCAACGTCCATAAAATTCAACTTAATCATAGACTCTGTATATGTAAAGGTTGTATTAGAAGGATTTCTCAGAATAATGTCATCTTCGATATCTACGGAGGGCTTAGAATGTCACTTTTCAGCTAAAAGTTGTCAAAATTTTAGGACAAAGGGCACAGGGCAA